AAGTACAAAAGGGATCGATTTGTCCGATAAATGTTCTAAATAGGGTACTAAATAGGGTCGAAATTGAAATTTTGTACTTGAATTAGATAGATTTAGGGGGTGTTTGTTTCAAATCCCAAAATTTCAAGATATGGATTCCAACATAGAATTTGAAATCCATAAATTTTTGGGTGGGTTTTGGGATCTCTAAAATGTTGTTTGTTTTAACAAAATTTTAGGATATGAAATACCAAAACTTACAATGTTTTGTTTGTTTCAAACTTAAATTATAGCATTACAAATTTTAGAATTTGAAATCCCAAATTGTAGCAAACAAAATTTAGGATCACTAAAATAATGATTGGTGAATTTAAGAATTTTTGGTGAGCTTACCCCCAATAAAAAACAGCTCTTGTATTTACTCTTCAAGCAAGCCCACAACAAAAGATGAAACTGAAACTGAAACTAAAACTGAAACTGAAGCTTTCCCAAAGCATGCTCTCCTATACATGTTAGCTCAGTCAAGGTCACCAGCACAACCACGTCCAGCAAGCATACAAGGCATACAAACCCAGCAACAAAACCCAGCAACCCAACAACAAAACCCAGCAACCCAGCAACCCAGACCACCAGCGGCAAAAACACAGACCTCTAGCAACAAAATCACCAGCTACCAAGTTTAAAGCACAAGCCATCAAGAACAAGTCAACAAGCAAACTGTATATGAGAGTCAAAAATTTGTTTCAGGCCCCTTTAACAAAATAAATAAATAAACAGAACCTGTATATGAGACTGTGTACAAAAGTATGGTTGTGGCTCAAATTTAAACAAAACCTGTATATGAGACTGTGTACAAAAGTATGGTTTGTTTCAGGCCCCAAATCAGTTTCCCAGAATCAGAGTAGTTGAAACAAAATATACACTCAACGTTTGGATCCTCATAACTTGCTAGTATGGTTCAAGCTTTTCTGCATAAAGAAAAACAAAGCAATAAAGTACATAGAACAAATATTGTGCATGAATGAGATTACCAATAAATTTGAAGTAACCAAACCAGAAATATCTAGGGAAAAGACTTACCTGTGTACAAAATTAGTCTTGAGAAACCACAAATAAAGGAATTGTTCTCATGAACTGTCAATAAAACAATTTGATGGGAGAGTTCTCTCTCATTAGCTCAAAAACAAGCATTGAAAACATGAGCACAACAAATAGTGTCGAACACAACAAATGGATAGGGCTGTTTCAATACTCAGGCTAATTCTTAGAAAACTAATTAAACGATATAGTCAAGCACAACAAAGTCTGATTTAATGATGTAGGAGAATAAAGCCACCAGCAACCACAACCACAAGATTATGAATACCAAGGCTCATAGAATAATGATGTAGAGGAATAAAGAGGTAATGTAGCCAAATCAAAAGCAACAAACCCAGCAGCCCATACCAGCAGCATGAAATCTCATAATAGGACCAAGTTTGGGGCTCAGATATAGGTATTAAAATGGAATACATGGATTGACTCATCTAACAATGGTGTTGCAATGTAGGTTGCAATCAAATGAATGGATTGCCTCACCGACGTTGTGGATGCAATGTAGGTTGCAATCACATGAATGGATTGCCTTACCTAACATTGTAAATGCGATGTCGGTTGCATTCTCATCCTAGATTGCCCTACCTAAACATAGCAAAACATTGTAGATTGCATTCTCTTAACTAAGACCATCATCATTGCCCACTTAGAAGAATACAAAGTAGCCATTGAAAACAACCATTGAAACAAATACTCTTGTATTTGCTCTTCAAGCAAGCCCACAACAAAAGATGAAAACTGAAACTGAAACATAAGTTGACCCAAAGCGGAGTCTCATATACATGTTAGCTTAGTCAACGTCACCAGCACAACCACGTCCAGCAAGCATACAAGGCATTCTAGAATAATGATGTAGAAGAATAAGGAGGTAATGTAGCCAAATCAAAAGCAACAAACCCAGCAACCCAGACCACCAGCGGCAAAAAAACAGACCTCCAGCAACAAAATCACCAGCTACCAAGTTTAAAGCACAAGCCATCAAGAACAAGTCAACAAGCAAACTGTATATGAGAGTCAAAAAATTTGTTTCAGGCCCCTTTAACAAAAAAAAAGTAAACAAAACCTGTATATGAGACTGTGTACAAAAGTTGAAACTGAAACTGAAACTGAAACATAAGATGAAACTGAAACTGAAACTGAAACATAAGCCCTCCAGCAACAAAACCCAGCAACCCAGCAACCCAGCAACCCAGCAACCCAGGCCAAATCAAAAGCTTATGACTCTCATATACAGCAACAAAACCCAGCAACCCAGCAACTGAAACTGAAACTGAAACATAAGCCCTCCAGCAACAAAACCCAGCAACCCAGCAACCCAGGCCAAATGCGCCAAAAACTGAAACTGAAACATAAGCCCTCCAGCAACAAAACCCAGCAACCCAGCAACCCAGCAACCCAGCAACCCAGGCCAAATCAAAAGCTTATGACTCTCATATACAACAACAAAACCCAGCAACCCAGCAACTGAAACTGAAACTGAAACATAAGCCCTCCAGCAACAAAACCCAGCAACCCAGACCAAATAACCCAGCAACTGAAGCAACTGAAACTGAAACTGAAACATAAGATTATGAATACCAAGGCTCATAGAAAATGTACATCAACATAGCCAAATCAAAAGCTTCAAACCCAGCAACCCAGCAACCCAAATCAAAGAATGATGTAGAAGAATAGCAGATGATATGGAGCCAAATCAAAAGCTTCAAACCCAGCAACCCAGACCACCAGCGGGAAAACTCATAATAGGATCAAGTTAGGGGCTCATATATAGGTATTAAAATTGAATACATGGATTGCCTCATCTATCAATGGTGTTGCAATGTAGGTTGCAATCAAATGAATGGATTGCCTCACCAAACAGTGTAAATGCAATGTAGGTTGCAATCACATGAATGGATTGCCTTACCTAACATTGTAAATGCGATGTCGGTTGCATTCTCATCCTAGATTGCCCTACCTAAACATAACAAAACATTGTAGATTGCATTCTCTTAACTAAGACCATCATCACTGCCCACTTAGAAGAATACAAAGTAGCCATACCAATACATATCGTGCAATGTAGGTTGCTATCAAGTATCATATCCAATGATATTTATATAAACCTGCAAAAGAACCAAAGTTATAATGAGATTGCAATTAGAGTAGTGAAATTAGTTACATCATTAAGTTGTTAAACTTACAAAATTAATAACATAAAGCTACACCACTAAAATTAATAACATAAAGCTACACCACTAAGTATTCAACTTACAAAATTAGTTACATCATTAAGTTGTTAAATATGCAATGAGTTTACAAAAGCAATAGATATGTCAAAGTCTTCAAAAGTAGTGCAATATCAAGTTTTCATAAGTCAAACCCTTGCTCGTTCATAATCTTCTCTATAAATAGCTTTTGAGAATTTTTGGTTTTGATGATCAACCTCCTAGCTTCTGATTCATGGTCATACAAGTAATCAAGCACTTTATCCAATACCCCCTCAGAAAATTCACTCTCATGCGTCATTAGAGCATTCGCCATGGTCTCACTCCAATGCACAACACGTTGATGTACATGTTGATTTTGAATTGAGAACGACATCGTGTCAATTAAACCACGCATGAGAGTCTCATCCTCTTTAGCCTTGCTACTCTTCTTCCTAGGAGTTGATGTATCAATTGATGCAGAAGCTACCCCACTAGAAGCCTTCAATTTCTTACCTTGAGAGTTGTGGTTTTGCCCACTTGATTTCTCGGACTCAAGACGTGGGCTTGGGGACAAATCAACCTCATTATCACTAAGTATTACATGATCCTCATCTCTATCCGTATCATGTTGGCTATAACCAAGCTTTTCAGTCATATCTTTGGTGAAATCACCCTTTGCTTGGTCATCTCCCGCGATATAACACAAGTTCTCATAGTGAATGAGAGGAGTGTTCAAATACTCCTTTAATCTAGAGATATTGTATTTTTTTTTCCTGTACAGTGAAATATTGCAAAACCAGTTACTAAGAAGTAAATATTCAAAGTTTGCTTATTTATAAAAAATATTACCTGTGTCCACCTATCAAAACAATCTGGATCCATGGTGACAATCTTAGTTTGTGGATCATAACCAGCCCCACTCATGTCCATGACAGTGCGCATATCAAAATATTTACCTTTCAAGGACTTGACATGGTTCATGACATTCTCCTTTGTGAACTCAGTGCCACACTTCTTGTTGACCTCCTCTGCAGCTCTTCAATATGCAAGCACCTTAAAGTTTTTATCAACTTTAAGACCATCCTTTGCCATCTGAGCAAGGAAGGGGATTAACACATCATCATTCTCTGCAGTCCATTTAGCATTAGGCACCCCCCTTGTATTCTCTTTTTTGTTCAGCACCTTTGGTGGCATTTTTCTTTTAGTAACTGCCCGCTTCTTGCTTTTGCTTTTGCTTGGTGAGGCAGCATCATCCTCAAGGTCAATTGCCATTGGCCTCTTCAAAGAATGAGTCTCACTTGAATGGGTACCAGGGGAAGTGTGGATAAGTGGGTGGCCACTGTTAAGCATATTCATAAACGACATGGGTTGTTGAGTCATAAATGAGTAGTTCATATCATAAGGATTGTAAGATGGATAAGTCGGTGGAGCAATGTATTGGGGCGGAGGGAATGGTTGTGTAGTGGGTGGTGGGGGAGCCGGGAAGTATGGATAAGTGGGTGTTGTTGGTGTTCTAGGTGAAGTATTCCTGAACTTATCACTTTCATTAGAATCTGCCATGACTGATTGCTACAAATTAAAACAGACAAATAACAAATTTCAAACCTCATGTTAGTACAATAATAGAGTACGAACATCAAAAAGTAGCATTCATAAAGCCCGATCTTCATAGCTAAATCCAGAGGTAGTAGACAATATATCAACGAGTACAATAATACATGGAAAATATAACTTAAATTATATCCCAATCTCGGTTGTGTCTCCACCGCGATATTTATCACAATAATCTTTCCACATTTTAATTGCAATTTGATCCCTCTTTGCTCTCCATTCATTTCTTGAATCTCTTTCCTCTCTTTGTGTCATAGTTTGAGTAAAGTCAACAACACCCTCTTTACCTTCATTTGCTATTTCATCTCCATCCTCTTCAATATGGTTGTCCTCATGCAACAACTCATCGCCCGGGTCTTCTATGACGATATAGTTATGAAGTATAGTACATGCAATAACTATATCAATTTGAGTTGGAAAAGGGTAATGTGGCTTCGCGGATAGGATTTTGAAACGATTTTTTAATACCCCAAATGTTGATTCAATTTTAGACCTTAGGGATGAGTGTCTTAAATTGAACAACTCTTGTCTATTATTGATTGGCCTACCCTTGTGCTCATTTAGATGATACCGCACTCCTCGATATGGGGAGATAAAGCCATGCATAGTAGTGTAACCCACATCACACAAATAATATTTTCCTACAATTACCAAAAAGAATTTTAATAATTTTTTTAATTTTAATGAAATAGACATATATTACTGTCGTAAACTCCCAATCCGTGAGGTCGTGGTCTAGATAACGCGTCTTCCAAAACTCTATAATCATTTACGGATCCCTCCTATCCAGCAAGAACATACGAAAATAACTTATTGGGAGTGCATGCAGCTAGAACATTTTGAGTTACACCTTTACGACCTCTAAAACGTGCAACAAGGCTAGCGGGAAGCATGGCGTCGATATGAGTTCCATCTATCATGCCAATACAATCCTATATGATACATTAAACAGTTATTAATAATAGAAAGGTAAAATTAATTGTTTGATTATGAGTAGTTATATTATAATAATGATTACCTTGAAATAAGGATAATATAATGGGTTAGTGGCAATCTCTAGTGATACTTTATTTGGCGCTTGCTTCATGTACCGCCCCCTTAAACGACCAACAGCTTTCAAGTACTTGTTAAAGTATTTTGAAACGGTTTCCCCCGATCTTATGAAATGTGACCTAACAATTCTATTTTTTGTTTTATGGCCTAATATATTAAGGAACATGAGCAATTGTTCTTCTACTTTAACAACCCGTCCATCTTTTAGTAGGCCGGTATATCTCATTATGCTAACAAGATTATGAAATGCACGCGGCCTCATTCTAACATAAGCCCTACAACTCTCATTATAGCCACTAAACACACGACTTATGTGCCTAGCTCTCATATCTATCTTCTCTTTATTTTTCACCTTACGTTGATAAGTGATTGATTTCCGTCTACTACGTATCCTCATCAAACATGTAAACACACAAATCACCGCGGATATAGTAGCATTAGAAGCCATCCTCGTTAACATCTCTTCATCAATGTCGTCCATCTACATTGTTTTAAAAAAACTCACAAAGTCACAAAATTGAAAAAAGCACAAAAACAATCTATATAGTATTGATCATTCATTGTTGATAATATTTGTTGCGAGCTTGAACTTTTGGTGGAAAATGATAACTGAAAAATTGTGCATCCTCATTGTTTTACTTTGTTGTACTTCTCTATGCATACAGATGATATGGTTCTTATGACAAGCTTGTTAAACAATTCTAAGTGATCAATACTATCCGCCCATTTGATATATTGATAATGCTTTCTCTGATTAAGAAGGGCTCCAAAGCATGGCATGTTAGCTAATTAGATATATATTGTTGTTTGGATTGTGACTTAAGCATTGTCATGACTGATACATCTCGAGCACATAATTAATTGTGCCAAATAACTAACTGATTTAATTGTGACTTAAGCACTGTCATGACTGAAAATAAGATCCGAAAATTTTAGTCTAATAATTGTGCCAAATAAACTTGATCAAACTAAATCAATTGCATATGCCTTACCACATATTAATTTCAGCTAGAACACCCCAATAACAAAACCAAATCCATCAATTTTACAAAGAAACCCTAATTTATGGAGGAAGGCAACGAGTTTTACCTGCCGAGGAGGAGACACAGTTGGTCGGAGAACTGTTCGGGCAGACAGAAGTCCGGTTGAAATAATCGAATCCCCAAATCAAGTTACCCCCAAAACCTCAAGATGAGTGGAGAAGAGGCAAGGCGGCTTGCCTGGGAGTTGGGGACGCTGAGGAGGAGGCGGAGCCCGCTGAAGTTGGGGTGGCGTCGTAGTCGGGGTTCGGCGGGAACAAGAGCTAGGGTTTCGCGCGGAATTGGAGACGGCGGGTAAAAGAGGACCCAGACGAAAGCGGTGACTTTATGCTTCGCTATGAGATCCGTCTTCAGGTAAGAGCGGACTAAAATGCTGAGTTGGACGCGATATGTCAGAAATCCAGCCCACATCCACTACAAAAAGTAGGATTTTACAAATGCTTAAAAATATTAGTATTTTATAGTTTGGGGATTTGATATCCCAAAAGTTTTTTTTGAAACAAACTTGATTTATGGATTTCTAAAACCTCAAAATACCACTTTTTTCATCCCAAAAACTCTAAATCTACCCTATATCCCAAAAAAAAAAAAAAAAAAAGAACTCCCTTAGCGAAATTTACCCACCAGTTGATCTCTCATGCTCTCGCTCCCCTCCCGGTCCCGCATCATCCAAATGGCGGAGGCCTCAGCCGCTCACATCGAGCACCCCAAATCCGGCCTTTCAACTTCCAAGACCCACTAACGTTTCCATCTCCGCTGCGCCTTTGTTGCCGCCCCCTCCCTCCTCCCTCGCCCCTTCCTTCCCCATTTCTCTCCCCTCCCTCCCCCCTCTCCCCCGCCTCTCTTCCTCCTCTCCTCCCCTCGCTCTCCCCTCTTCCTACTCGGACCTTCTTCGCCCTCCCCTCCTCTTCCCACTCCCTCTCCACCCGCTTCGACCTCTCCCGCCGGCGACTCGGCTTATCCTCTCACCTCCCTCCTCACCTTCCCCTCCTCTACCTCTCCCTCCTCTCCTCGGCGTGACGCTCCCCTCTCCAACCCCCTTCCTCCCGCCTGCGAATCTTCCCGCACATCGCGCCTCGCTCGAACCCCACCCTCGCCTTCGCAAGCCTCAAACCCTCCCCTCCTCCCCCTCCGTCCCACCTCCTCTCGACTCCTCTCTTCTTCCCTCCTCCTCGCCTCCCTCCCTCCCGATGGTCCCGCCGCCGTTCCTCTCAATCCGACCTCCGCCGCCGTCCTCTTCTCCTCGCGACACCGGGAGAGGTCAAGGGGTGGTGTCTGACCCCGGAACCTCAATATCCGCCGTGGGGACCCGGTCGGAGTGTGGTCCCCGGGCCCCGGGGTGGGCTGGTCGGGTTGCCCGTTGTTGCATGTGTATGGGCTTTGTTTGGCTGCTTCGAGGATAGCTGGCGGCGGGGCCAGCACGTGTGCTGATGACAGCAGAGGTTTGATTGTGTGGGGTTTTGAGGGCGGGTGGAGAGTTTAGGTGGAATCATGGCTGTGGCCGCGCGGCGTGGTGAGACGGTGGCAGGTCGGAGAGAGGGAAGGTTTGGAGGATGATTCGTGAGGTTTTGGTGGGGGTCGCTTGGCGGGTTGCCCCCCAACGATCGTCCGGGATCGCGGCTGGAAGCGTACCGGTCTCTCCGTTCGCCTCGATTTGGCGGCTTGACATGATCAAGAGGTTCCTGGCGAGGTTTCCAAATGTGAGGTTTTCGCAGGTTGGTTGTGATCCTATACCTTCGCAGAGTAGTTTGTGTTTGGGTTTCTTTTTTCACGACATCGTTGTTTTCGAATTTAGTTTGCTTGTTATAGATTGTTTGCTTTGCGTCGTATGGATCAAATAGTTGTGTTCTCCATGGACATTCTCTTCTATAAGTATCTTGTATCGCTTTGTACAATTTATGGGCGATATATCATGACTTTCCCAATATATCAGGTGACATTTCAGCCTTAGAGGAGTTGCGTTTGACATGGTGGCACTTTCTTTGACATGAAATAATAAATGATGCAGCCAGATATCTGTTTTTAACGACATTTGCTTTGCAAAAGCTAGTTGGAAAATGGTAGTTGAATTAATGTTTTGCAGGAAAAAAAACTGCAACAAATGCAGCGATTCCTTTTATTAATTAATTTTTTTAAAAAAGTAATGACACATCATCGAGTTTTAAAATGATTGATAAACTGAAGAAAATATAGTTGAAATAACTGGTTTCATCATAATAACATGGACTGTGAAAGTGCTTTCCATATGATTGCATATTTCTTACTGCATTTTACCCCCCTAATTGTAATATCTAATGCTTCTAAAGGCCTATGGGTTGACTGAGTCAACAGGTGGAGTTTTTCGGGCTTTTGGTCCAGAAGAAAGTCAACGCCTTGGATCTACAGGGCGTCTTATGGCTGGTTGTGAAGCGAAAATTGTTGATCCATCCACTGGCATCGCTTTGCATCCATGTGAACAAGGTGAACTTTGGGTTCGAGGCCCTACAATCATGAAAGGTTAGTAGTACCTTCCCTTGTCCTCTTGTTACTAATTGGCATTATACCCTTATTCATGTTTCTTTTATGCTTAGGTTAACCTGTTGGTGTTAGATGTTAGAGATTATAACAAGAGAAATAGTGACAAGGTGTGAGGTTCTTAGACTGGAGTTTATCTGTTTCCTTAAAA